TATTTGGAAGGGAAATAAAAAAAATCGTCATCGCTAAATAAGTTAACCTACAAGAAATCCCGAAATGTATGAATGTATTCAGCATTACTCTCGAAATGTTAGCCACAATAACTGCGATCCATGAATATCCAGTATTATATTTTAAAGATCGAAAACGAGTCACTCACAGCGAGAACGATGGCGATTTTCATGTTCATTGTTTTGTACTGGTTTGTGAAGTGAGGATGAGATTCAAAAAAAAATTTTTTTCAAACTGCACCGATCGACACACTGAGAGGAAGTGAATTCAAAGGCTGTCTCGTCCTCGACGTCGAACTTGACACTAACCTCGACACTCGCCCCGGCCCAGCTTATAAAGCACAGCTGGCAGATAGACGGCCGTTGTAATCCGACGTCACGACAATAACGAGAGAAGGCGGCAATAGGAAGCGAAAATTAAGAATCGACACTCCGGAAGAAAGGCGGCAAGGATGTGTATAGAGGAATAAGAAAGCCCCGATGATGATGAGAGAGAAACAAAAAAGAAAGAGAAAAACCCCCGATGAGAGAAAAATGAATGTGGATGAGAAGAAAAAGGAAAAGAAGAAGAATAAGAAATGCAACCGGTTCAGCAGCCAGGTCGACGATAAATCCGTGTGACGAGAAACGTCGGCGACGAAAGTCGCTCCCCTGCGCAATTGACCGCAAGCATTATTGGCCAACCTGTATAGACGTCGATTTGGTAATCCCACTTCATTATATGGAGTTGCTTCTAATAATTCCGTCCGTTATACGCCATCATCAGGTGATCCCCGTGGCCAGTCCAGTGCCGATAATGATGGCGAACTTTCCAGAATTTTGTGCGTGAAACTCATTGTCTATATTTTTTTTTTTGGAATCAGACGGTAATCAAGCGAAATTGTTCTATATTGCCTGAAGTACAAGCAGGTCTGCCGCATTTTTCCATGTACTTAAAAAAATTAAATGGTTTTTTTTTTAATGATTAAAAAACCATTTTGAAAATTATAAATGGTTATAATTTAAATGGTTCATGATCGAGCTCACAAACAAAATTGCTGCTTTTAAAAAGCTTCTCTTCTTTTTTTTTATTTGCTCGAGAATAAAATCAGCCTGATGGCAACTTTCTGCCTTTCATTCAAAAGATGAGGCGCCGATCTCGCAGATATTTTTTGGCGTACCCCAGCTTTGTCTTCGGAATTCTTAAAATTTACACGGTGTTAATTCCAAGGGTTGCAGCCATTAATATTAATTCTGCCATTTTCAAGAACAACCACCTGCACAGCAGCCGCCACGTTTTCATCCCAAGAGGCGGTTGCTGACGAAAATGGCGGAATTATTAATCAAATCATGGCGGCAACCCTTGGAATTAAAGTCATGACAATTTTAATCCGAAAAGGGAAAGCTGGGGTGAAAAAAATGTTTTAAAAAACCTGTGAGATATAGGAGCCTCATATCTTTTGAGAAAAGACTCATATATCTGAAAACTATAGAAAATCTGCCAGGATGAATTTCGCGAAAATGTCCTGAAAAAGTGTCAAAGAGGGCTGCATTTTTTTTCTCTTGACCAAAGCGTTTTTTCTGAATACTGGCTTTTCAGCTTAATTATAAGCCAGTTTCGATTTATATTCCAAGAATATTTGTTTTACCCCTCCAATATACCAAGAAATATGTGGAGTGCATTAAAGGTCACTACTTGCATTAGAAGCATATAATCGAGGTCAATTTTTTAATATGGCGAATTCTGTGGCAGTTCAGCAAAAATGTGTACTGGTTTATTGTACACTTGCATACTTTGCTATTGAAAGGATGAAAATATGTTACCTATACTGTACACTGATCTGTGGTGTTCTGGGATGTAAAGGTGGTCCCTGCAATTTAACCTGCCACAATTCAAATTCCCACAATTTTACCGTCCAGGAATTTGATGTTCAAATTTGCAGGGAGGTTGACTTGCATTAATGTGACCCTTGTCCTGCAATTTTACCTGATGCTTGGCCACTTTTTCCCCCATTTTTGTACTGAAATTTTTGAATTTCATGAAGTGTCCTGCAATTTGACTGTAGTTTGGCAACAGACTGGGGGTCAAATTTGTAGGTACCACCAAGTGCACACTCAGTGTGGGTAGAGATACCCCTGCTGTCAATTACATGATGCTGAAATCTTCAATTTACCTTGGCACATTTGATTCAAGTTGAGCAAACTTTTTAGGCTTCAGGCAGTGAATAATAATAGGCCTGTACTATTGCTGTACAGCTGTACTTGACACTGTTTGATTTGAAATATTGCACTCAATGAAGTGTCTTTGCAACTTTCATTCTTCATGATATGGTCATTGGAGTATCAGCTGTGTTGAAGAAATGGTCAACAGTATAGTTGATGAGTCTTTCTGTTACAGTCACTATGAAGTATTTATTTAGAGTTTGAATGAATTGCTTGCAGTTATTTTTATTCTACAAAAAAGCAATTATTTTTTTGTAACGATCTGTATCCGCTGTAGTGTATACGAGTATAGTACAGTACAATGATTATTGTCAATTTCCAAGTTAAACTACAGTATATCCTATGCTTATATGCGGCTGCTGTTCCTCATTTATGCTTTTGACAAAAGGTATATATTTTGGGTGACATCCTGTGTCAGTATATATAGTTATAGTGTTCTCAAAAAGTATCATTTCGTCGCATTTGAGATTTAACGCAAGTGAAAAAAGTACTAGGTTGCAATATACCCTTGATCCTTTTCAATGAACATCATCAATGTCTGCATATACAGTAGTTCGTCGTGAACAGTAGAGTATTTTTTGCTATCGTTGGTGTCACACTGTAATTTTCAATTGAGTCTTGATTCCCAGTACGTTCAAGTTCCAAATCCTACTGCCTTTTTTTGTGCGTCTTTTTTACAAGTAGAGTACTGTACATTACTTTATGCAAGCTCTATTCAGTTCCTGACTGCTGCTGGCGGAAAATCTGCTGATAGATAAGCTAGTGTTAATATTTTTCAAGTAACTTTCTCTGCGTAAATACTGTAGTTCATTGTGTATCATTGTGCTGTATTTTAATCAGCTTCAACACAAAATACCTTCTCAGTTAACAGATAAACCTCTGATACTTATTCTGTTTAAATTGTCTGTTGGTTTACTCTGTAAAAGTGTAAATAATGCATTGCTGAGAAAAAATAGCCAATCATAAATTCAGGTAGAGACATTTTAAATTTGTTCTGACTTACCATGTACATGTAGATGAAGCTCATGACAGCCATGGCTGTATATAAGAATTGCCTGAAAACAGGTGCTGAAAAGATGAAAATTTGGAAGATAAAAACAAGACGTTTTTGTGAACTGCAAGTTTTTCTAAGCAAAAGCAAAGCACAAGACTGATATGGTGAGTGGATGCAAAAATTTCAAGTTTATCAGCATCAGTCAGGCTATCAAAACATCCACTCTCCAATCAATTCCTGTACCTGGCCCTTGTATCACAAATTATTTTGCACTCAGCTAGAATACATTTTTATCCCTCACCTAGAATACATTTTTATCCCTCACCTAGAAAACATATCCATCCTAGAAAAATGTTTGGATCAAGTTAGAAGCAATTTTTCCTTGATTCTTCCATTCCAGCTCAAAACTACATTCACATCAATGAAATTTCCAAAGGGAAATTATCCAAGACTGCGCTCATCTTATATGGTTGAAAAATGTTCACCCTGAGGAACTTATTGCATTCAGTAAAATTTTTTTACTGAATACAGTTCTGGAATTGGAAAGTTCTGATGATGATATTCTTTCAACGTGTACAGTACTCTATGAATTTCGGCCAGGATGACTTGAAAAAAAAACTTCATTTTACTGAAAAAAAAAATTTCGATATGATTTTATGCTGTGTATACGAAGTGATGTTCAGCATAAAATGTCATGAAGTAATCTCATATAGGGAAGGCTGAGCAAAAATGATCAGCACAATAGAGTACTAATCTAAAACTGTTGTATTATTGGATAGTGTGTTTTCTTGCAGCATCCAAAGCCAAAAATTGGTGGTAGATCCAAATCCCACAAATTCAGTTTCAATGCCCAATGAAGTATTAGGCAAGGCGTCATATTTTCTGGAGTATACGCCACACTTCAGTAAGAAATAATATTTTACAAACCAACGCCTATACACTATTCTCTTTTTCGCGATTTGTTGACATTCATTCCTTTAGCCTACAGCTGGTATACAATCTATATTCGAACCATATGTCCATCCGTTTTTGTTCGTTAAGAACATATCACCGCGCTAAAAATTTTAATACGGGATTTTTGTTTTTCACACCAAATTTCCAGATTCTGTTCTCCCATAGACAAAATATACATTCTTGATTGCATCATAGATACGAAACGGTATACACAGATATTCTTGAGGCTCTTCAGCATTGAGGAATGAGAGATGTCATCAGGAACCTTTTTTCAACCTTGAAAATGCTGTCCTTCTGCTGTCCTAATCTCCAAAACTATGATGGTATAGAACTGCAGAGAAAAACTAACCGCAAATAGAATTTGTCTAGATTGTACAGTGTATGAAAGATCTGGAACAGCTTCCAATTTTAATTTTTCACTTCGTTCCTGGATTCAATATGTGCTTTTCTTCATGTGAATTGTTTTTTTCTCATCTGACTGGTTTTTTCTTCGCAAAATCCAACAGCGATCAAAATTGCAGAGACCCGCAAGCATCCTTTCCGTATTATAGTTAAGTGGTACCCAAAATATTTTTTAGTTTGATTGTCGCTGCACAGATGAACTCAATTTACAGATTACAGTCATGAATCATGACCCGCAAAGAAATGTCCACAGGAACTTCCGCAAAAACCCCTCTCCCCTCAAGGTTATTCTCGAATTCCCTTTCCATAACGCAAAACAGATGTCACATCATGAGTCTCAAAAAATTGCGACGTCGATCGACCCCCGGCGGCATCATCACGTGGCGCTCAATATCATCCGAGATGAATGAAAATGATTTCACAGTCAAACTTGTCATTATCACAAACGAGTTCCCGGTTTTAATGCCGACGCCCATCATGGTCATTATCGACGAACAAACGAACAACAACAACAAAAAAGCACACACAATATAGTCGCTCGTGTCATCCGTCACCAGCACCGAGAGATTTTGTAAGAAAAACGGGCCTATAAAGAAATAGCCTAATCCTGAACAGGACCAAAACGTGTCGGCATCAGCATGACTGTCATCAGACCACGTTCACTTCCTGCAGCGGCTTATTGAGCATGACTCTGTCGTAAGAAAACCGGCCCAGGTTGATGCTTCTGTATTCGCCGTGAAACACCAGCTCTGCGACTCCCCGACCCGCGGCGGGGGAATGTTGAATACCTGCAAGTACAGCAGCAGTGAGCAAATATACAGTTACCTTATTCCGATCATTCGCCAAAAACCGAGAAAATGCTGACATATAAAAAAAAGAAAAAATCCAATTTGAAAAAAAATCAATCGTCAAGTAGCAATTTTCTTCCAGACGGTAATCCACACGGGTTCATCATTCAATATTTGGCAAGAGCGCGCATAGGAACCAATTTCACCACGCGGAAGAAATTGTGGGACTCCGAAATACGGACGATTCGACTTACAGCCACTTGAAACTTGAACAAGCTGCCCCATCATCATTCTAATCAATTTCGCAAGATAAGGACACTTTTCAAGCATTTCTAGGAAAAGGGAAATTTTTTCTCCTGACTTTTCCATCTCTTGAGTTATTCATATTCACAAAAATTATACATACATTTTTTTTTTTTACAAAATTACCATTATTCATAATTGAAGTAGACAACTTTTGTGTTTTATTTTTTCAGAGTTTTTCTATCATGTGTGCACAGCATTACACAAATACGCTTGTACTTTTTCTTGGCTTCTTGAGCTTTTTTTTTATGCCAGAAGATGCGATTCTGTGTGAATTTCTTCTGCACGTTTTTTTCTGCATTGAACTTGAGAAATACATTTTTATCTAATTTTTAACAACTTTATTCCTAATTTTTGATGAACATGAGAGCCAATTGAATATGTTCCCATCATTGAAATACATGGGAAAACGTGATCCAATCTACGGACGCTCCGACACAGGTACAAGGTCAAGGCACCCAATTACGTCCGCATCCCGGGGCCCCCATTATCAACCTCGCACAACTGCAGAAACCCAGACGCGATAAATTGTGCTGAATGTCGATCTTCAAACGGGTGTCACCAAGGGTTGTGAGTTGGTTAGTTTTATTAAACTTGAAGTTGCTTTTGCACATCATAAGCCACACAAGGGGATAGGGAGGAGGGGGGGGGGGGTGTATTGAAGTACCATGTTTACTTGAGCACCATACACCCTTAAAGAAGATGTGCACCAGGGTTTTTCAAGTCACAAATTTTGACACAAGGGTATCCCCTGGTAAAACGTAAAACGCACACCTCATTTTTGGGACTCTAAAACTGGAATACAGTACAGTATTTCAAAAATACGAACACCAAAATTAGAACTTAGCCCTGAATTCAAATGATTTTTGTTCGTATTAAAATAAGTTTTTCTGTTAAGCCTGATGCAAAATTTTCCATTTGAATCAGGTATAATGCAAAACTAAACTTCTAGAACTTTATAAAACCAATGTACATTTTTCACCTCAATCCTATGACAATCATTACAAGCACCCCTTTTTCCAACTTGAATTTATTGAGAAAGAAGGTTCGGGTGGTTCTCGAATAAATAACTCAATTGTCAAACCTTTCAAGATTTGTTCGAACGGTTCAACAAGACGGATTTTAAAAATTATTGGAAGCTCAAAGCTCCAAACATGCTTCTAACAAAACTGTTACCCACGAAATGCAGCAGTACTATAGATGAAATGCAATCTTAACAATTATCCAGGATGATTAACACATAGTATTTAATAGTCTTGAATACACTCGCTTACAAATAAATTCTTCGCTACACATTGATTGAAACAATTACTCAACCTTAACAAATCTCATCGAGTGAGAAGCGGAATTCCACGCCCATACACATTTTACCCCCGCTGTACTAAAAAAAAAAAAAAGGATTTCTCACGTAATTTACGATGACGCAATCAAATATACCATTCAAGCGTGGACAAGCAAATGGACCGATTACGACAGAAACCTCGTTCAACAACAGTCCATTGTGAAGAAGCCAGAACGAAAAAAAACTATTCATTAGTGGAATAATTGCTTGGATTCCTCTTTAAATAGCTGTGGTAATAAGACTTCGGATACCCTAGACGTGAGGTTCTTGAATAGATAAATATGTACGGTACACTCTTTCAACAACAACGCTAATCCCACCCGCACCGGAAGGTCACGATTGCAAAATTCGCGTTTAGTACGTCGACATCAACATTAATTCATTCATAATTCTAATTACACATCATTCGGATAAGCTGAAACGAACACTAATTGTAATACGGCACTCGAGGAGGAATTACCCAATGAGAATATTATAACAGTGACGCATAAATTCCCACATTTTAACAACAATTGCTATACAGTACACTCAACCTTAGAATACACGAGGGTTCAACGAAAGTTCTCGGGATATAGAAATTGAAATGGCACATAATTTGAGGTGATAAAACATTTCTAAAAAAAAATTTTGGCAAACGAAATTCAGCCCAGTTCATCATATTTTTCAGAAAAGTTTTGCAGAAGTCATCCTGGCAGCTTTCTGCTCTTTATCAAAAATCTGTGCCCATCTCGCAGATTTTTTGTGAAGCCCAGCTTCACCTTCCGAATTCTCGAAATCAACATGGCATTAATTCCAAGGTTATTTCGCATTTTTTAACAACAGACGCCACATTCTCATCCGAAGTGGTGGCCGTTGATGAAAATGGCGGAATTGACAAGAAATTATTTAATTTAAAGCATGTTCATCAAATCTAAGACAATTCCTGACTATCGAAAGAATATTGGGTTGCATTATATTCACCCAATAATGATGAATGCGCTATGCAACAATAACCGTAGCAAACAATTATCAATTTGTCATCATAGAAAAGAGGTGTTTCCAGCCACTGAACGACAAACGCTATTCACACATACAATTCTTCATGGCCTCTAACAGATTCAGTTGATTGTTAACATTCTTCGCCTACGCGGTTATGATGTTTTCAAAGGATTCTACGTGTATTACTGAATGCGGGATGGTTCGCTCAGTTATCCCGAAAAAAACACTTCAATTTGCTCGACTGAGAAATATTTCTGACCCTTCAGGGGATATCGCACAGTAGTCGCCACATTTTTATTTACAAGCCAGATGTGTTGAATGAACTTGATGATTGTGCATCAGAAAAACTAGAAAAAAACATTTCAGTTCGGACGACTTCCGCTCACTATAAAAACAACGCTTCGTCTCTGAAATCAAATGGGCTAGTTGAATATTGTAATATTTTGCAGATTCTTGATTATTTTGACCACAACATTTTTTACGTCCTTGATTTAGGCCCTCACAGCTATGGCAGCATTATTTGCTTCATACAGGTTTAAATTCAGTAACGGAAAATGCCGTCAGACTTTTTATCATAACAAATTTTCTTTAAGTTTTGGGTAGAAATTCAAAGTTTTCCAGAATCCCGACACAGTGCTGTTTCTTTCCAAGATTTCCTCGCAGATTTCATCAACAATTTTCAAATTATAAAATTTTGCTTTAATTTTTTTCAGGACGAAGTGAAGAAGAAAAAAATTAGCAAACAAAGGTAATTCCAAAGAAAACCCAGACGGAACTAATGAATGAATCCCTCTTGAAAACGAAAATATCTGAAATTTAATGAATAACTTCCAGGACTCTTCCAAAAAATCTCGACAAACGAAAGAATTTAATCGTAAATCTCGAAATAGCAAAACATGCAAACTTCATGATGGATCATCACCTCTCCCCGACTAGTCACGATCTGGTGCTCGTCATAAACTTCATTAGATTGGAAGCGGCGGGGGAAAAAACCAGGTTGTTTGCAAACTACCCTCTTATGCAACTGAACAGGAAATTTTCTCTCAACGAAACTCATTGTAGCACCTGGCTGTGAAACACGAAATAAAAGCGAGTGAAGCCGGTTGATTACATCACTCGCCATCAAATAAAGAAAATAAAAAAAGGAACTCCGACCCAGGGCCTCATTACGACACGAAACAAGGTTCCAATGAGCCATGGCTTTTTTTCCCTCGCCTCGCCCGACAGAACCCGTGTGGCTAGGGGAAAAATTCCTTCGTGCCCGAAATGGGACTCGTAAACCCTGTCGACGACGACGAAACGGGTTTCAATATGATGAACCTACCGTGCCCGCTGAAACCGGATGCAAAGATGATGTTGGGGTGATACGGATGCGGGCCAATGATCGGGTTTTGATCCATGATGTTGTAATCGTAATAGCCGGCCCAGCCACTCCTCACCTGCAATAGAAAAAACACATTCGGGGGGGTTGGTTCTCACACGGATGATTAGGCAACAACAAGTCATTTCAACTATTCTATACACAGTGTCTCTCTCTCTCTCTCACTCGCAAAACTCCACGCAGGGGAACAAAAGCATTCCGTTCAGATTCTTCAAGTCACATCGAGTTGCGCTCACGCCTGGATTCCGTGTAGTTATTATATAGATCTCAGAAATGACAATAACTCCGGTGAGACAACACGATGCAACGAGGCTTCCTCTTGACGTTCCAGCAGAGTCAAATTATGCGCATCATGATATTGAGCAATCACGCATTTCTTTCCCGTCGATCAAAATTGAACACTAACAAAAAGTTTCTGATGGTACAAAAGTGATCGTGATACGTGAATAAGTGATTTATGGTAGTAAGCTGATTCTCAAAGGCGTTCCTATTGCAACTTCGTACAATACGTACGTAGTTGTGTATGCATCGTTTCGAGTTTTATACATGAAGGCAGCGTAGAAATAATCGTATCTACTAGACCTGTAAAAACGATTTAATATCTTTGTTTTGTTTTTCGTCCAATCAAGTTCCCTTATTCACGAAATCCCGTCATTTTTAGGTACTGTATTTGGCAAAATATATCTTCAATATTTACGGTGTCCTAAATTCTCACGATTTTCACTGGTCATTGATTAAATGGAAATGGGTGACGTTAAAATGCCAAGAAAACGGCCCGACTTCAAGTTTGAGAATCATATAAGCTAAATTTAACGGAAAATTTAATGCTTTTATCAATAAGGAGAGGAAAGTATAGAAAATTTTCGGTAAGTAGGCCTCAAAACTAACTCAACACAAACCATTCCTTGAATTACGTTTCATGGATTAAAGAGGATCTGTCAGGAAGTGCCAGCTTCATCTTGACATGTCGTTGCTTGGGTTTCAAAACTTCTGAGGCAAGATCCTCCCCGACCCACAGACGGATCAATAAAATGACATGTAGCAAACCTTTGTTTAGTTTCCAAGTATTTTCTTACATTGTAGCCCTAAATCGGGAAACGTGTCTTCCTCACAAAGTTCTGTGCTTAACATTCAGCATCGTCAACTCAAAATTTTCCAATAATGTCAACATTTTTTGACATCCCTCGTCAGGACCTATTTGTCAAACACGTGAAACTGACAATAAAATCACTAATAAGAGTTTGAAAAATGATTGATATACTGTATGTTCATTGGATTGAATCAGGATTCCTCAGACTGGATTGCGTTACATTTCATTAAGTCAAGAAAACGAAACCCAGCTCGGTTCTTCAGTTCACATCATGTTACAGTACTTTTGGTCTGATGCGCGAATCAAACGACCCGTGTTCGACATTCCAAAGAGAAAGGAGCAGAGGTGCTGTGAAAAGAAACACGGATCAAGAAATATGATATTAGAGGAGCACTGGGGTTTGAGTGAACAATCGTGGTATGATGTTGAACTTGAACCTTCAAAATTCCAAGCTACAGTTCAATATAAATCGTGTGATATATAATTCTGCAAATGAGCAGTTTTCATCCCATGGAATTGGATTACAGTAAAGGTACAGTAAAACTGTAACACAGGTAGAATCTCTATACTGTACAACAATCTTTTTTGGAAGGATTTTCTCTGTGAAACGAATTTTTTGGTTCCAGAGGGTTCTCTTCCCATGCCATACTGTTTCTCTACCATGAAATTCTTTATGGTAGAATTTTTACAGAGAAAGTAAACCGGTACCAGGAAAGATATTTTTGCTGAAATTCAGCATTCTTATTTTATAACACGTGAAAGACGAATATTTTTCCGGTACGGTCGTGTGAAGAAGCATCTCGACAAATTTTTGAACAAACCTTCAGCTTTTCAAATCCAGGCACTCGATGAGCCAACAACGGCCAGATTTGCTCATCAAAATATGAAAAATCTACAGAATCCAAGTTGGATGCATCAGGTTCGTGTTCTGGTGCAGGGGACATTCCAGTTAGATACACTCCTCCCAGACCTTCTCGTCTGAAGTACATTCCACTCGGATCAATGAAAAATGGACAGTCAAGACCTGGCCCATCAGGTGCATGAATCGTGTAGACATATCTTTTTCTGAAGAAAAAAGCATAGCATAGTAGATAAATAGATGGAGAACTAATGAGCTTCTTGTCTCATTCGCAGACCGAGAAATCTGCTGCATGATACTTACTCAACAATATATCGTCGTTAAAAAAAAGCGATAATTGTAAATTAACACTGTCATTGCCAAACCCAAAAAGGTTTGCCTTTTTTATATAAGAGAAAACTAACCATCCAAAATTTTTAAAATTTCCAGAAACATGATACTGTACACAACAGCAAAATTTGAATTTTTAACCTCTCAGGACAACTTTTTAGCACATTGCACTGTGAAATGAGTGGGGAAATTCCAGTTTTAATCAGAACATTCTTACTTCTTGTTATGCAGAATCTTGAAAAGCCGTATTAAAAATTAAAAGGAAAATTGTTAGAAAATTGTAGGAAAGTTTAACACTTGTTAACAACGTCAAAAATAACTGATTATGGGCGGCAGTGGGACAACACTCGTAAATAAAATACTGTATATTTATTCATCTCACCAAAAATTACATATTGCGGCTCAAAACATTGCTTCCTTCTGATAGGCTACCTAAAATGATGGGTGGCAGATAATCGCTTAAATATTGTACTATATTCACCTTGGTTCTATCGGAAGTTTATGCCTCAGCATTCCCTTCCCTGTGCCGATTTGCGCGGCGAACGCCAAGTCAGCTGAATGCGCACCGGTTGCAAGAATGTAGTATGGAGCCCGAATGGGTTTCACCTGTTCTCCCTCAGGGGTTCTCACTTTGACCAACAAGCTAGTTGCTCTATTAAAATTCACCGTTACCGTTTCCGAAAGAAGGTAATTGTCCAGTTCTTCAAACTCGAATCCAATTGCCTCTGCTTCCAAATATCTCGTTCCCAAAAACGAGGCCTTGGCTTTCATACCGTACAAAAGTGCCCATGGGTCGAACCAACCCTCGCCCTGAGTCCCTACACTGGCCAATGCCAATCCTTCGACGTTCATCCAGGGGAAACGTTGCTGGAGATCGTCGGGTCCCAAAAGGGTGGATTTCACGCCGTAATCTTTCTGCAAAATGTAGTTTTCTCTCAAGGTATCAGCTCCGGCTTCTGTTGCGGCGAAGACGTATCCGTGAGGGTTGAAGTTGATGTCCGGTGGTTGGACATCTTCGCAACTGCAATTCCGTTGGAAGTTTCGAATGAAATCGTACCCGTACTGCGACATCATGATGTTTTCGGGGACAGAAAACTGCTGACGAATTCCTCCCACTGATAATGTAGTCGAGGCTTTGGCATACTGCGAAAAAAAAAAAAATCTAGAATCAAGCATTCGAAAAACTCGAGTTTTATCTTACATATTCAAAAAAATATTTATCTTACGCAACCAATAAAAAATAAAAAAAACCTAAATTCAAAAAACTAAGAATTGGAGCAAAATCGCAAATGAACGGAAGACCAGCAGAAGATGAAAACCCCATCACTAAAAATATAAAAAAAACTTGTGCCTATTGGACAGGGAAAAAACCGAATTCGTAATAAGCATCAATTCATTATAACGAGATTCTATACTGAACTAAAAAATATAAAAAAACAGCAGACTTTCGGAATCATATTTCCGAAGGGATGCAACGTCAAAAAAACTTGCCTTAAACATTTCCTCAGCGCGAACAACCTATTACAAGATAAATTCTTTACCTTCTCGAAGGTTTCCTAATTCAGGTCACCTTTCATTCGGGCTTAAATTTAGGTCTCCGGTATTCATACTCTTTTCGATACAGCAAATAAATAAATAAAAAATCGGAATATTTGAAACGTATTTCCGAAAGAGTCTCTCCGAATGACAACGGCAACCAATACAGTATACGAAAGTTAAAAACCTTCAAGTTAATTTAGCATTCAAAAGCAATCGAATTCAACGTTCACGTAAATTTACGTTAAGGTTTTCAACTCAAGGTATCATTGGAATACAATGCTGCTGTTTGAAATCTCCTTTCAAATTTCTCTTGGCGACTCCGCATTACATTCGCTAGATTTTAATCCGTTTTGAGTATTGAAACGGTCTCTGCGACAGACTTCTCCCGATGGAACCAAATCATTCAAAACAAATTTGCACTAACCGTTGGGTCTTTCTCAACGACAAGGACGTTAACCTTCGAATGAATCTGCTTTATGTGAAACGCAGTTGCGGTTCCGATTGCTCCTCCGCCAATAATGACTACGTCCACGTAATGGGGGAAGTTCGGGTCTCGTTTCAATGGTGCTGAAAAGAAATCCTTTTGGGCTCTCAACTGACTGTCCACGACTTCCCCTTTTTCATTCAGCATTTCTTTCAAAGCACGCATCCTTGGTTTGCCTTCTTTGTCGATGGTCGAACTGCCATTGCCTGAGTTTGAATCACCGGATTTCGAACCGAAATGTCGCCAACATCGCGAAGTTGAGCTTGATATGCGCGAGAATACACGAGCGACAGCCATAATCTCGTCTACGAGAGGAAGAAGAAAACAGCGTTTTGCATGATTTCTGCTGAACTTCAAGACCACACGGCAACTTGAAAACGTGAACACTCTAACTTTACAATTACTCCGTTAATGTCGAAGTGCTCTGGAAAAAAAATTTTTTTTTTACTCTTAAAAATAGAGGAGAAAAGGCTGCATTTTCATGGAGGCATTTGCGATGAGCTCACAGGTTCACGGCAAACATCCGATATCTGAGGATGGTATTTCGTTCCCAAGGGTTTTCCGTCGCAGATAACATTCTTCAATCCAAATTCTGCAAATGAAGACACGTCGTATTGGACGTCGAAGCCGTTTCTCTTGTCTCCAAAAATAGTCAATTTTCCATTATTGCAGAAAAACCTTCACATTCGAGGACGAAAAGCACCAACGATGGTTCCACAAAATAAGAAACCTTTCGAGTTCCTCGCTCCAATCTCAAGATCCAGGTGATTTTTTGGGAGATACATGTTTTCAATAGGTTGAATAATTGTTTATCGTCGTTGAACTCGTCTCAGACATGATGGACGGATGCGTCCATGTTCAAGACATCAAGATCCGAAACCTATTCATAAGCCTGATTAAAAATAAGAAGAAACAATTTTCAATCAATCGTAGAAAGAAATCGATGATCAGGATTCTGGGTTGAATCAATCATTTCATACAGTGACGAACAAAATAATGACATTAGCAACCTCAGACAAGGAACACCTTTAGTATACAATACTGTACATAAAACGGATTCCGCTCAATCAAATTCTTGTTCGAAGATATCCGAGGAACAGACGTTTGCTGGAATTTCAAGTTAAGGCGTTCATCTACAAATTACCAAATTCAGGTCAAGAAATAAACTTGGTCCTTTCTGATGACTCGGTTTCTTCCGCTTGTAGATGTCACTCGTAGTCGTGACAATCCTGACTCGTCATAATTTTGGACAGTCATCCTCAGGCCTCTCGAGTTCATCCTGCATATGCAATATAGATATACTGTATGGTGCAGGCAAACCTCTTCACGTCAAATTTCAACGGATCAGCAGAAAAATCGATTTTGAGAGGTTTCCTGTAAAGGAAACAAGTTCCTTCATGTTGGAGGGGGGGGGGGGGGGGGGGAATTGGTCAAAATTGTAATTGGTGATATTCTGGATCATAAATTGCTTCTTACATGATTTGACAGGATGCTGAACTTGTTCAAAAAGCTTCATTTGCTCAGTCTTTCACTTCTTTCCAAAATCTTTGTTACATTTTGTATTGCCTTTCTCTTTCCTGTGTCAGTAAAAATAATGGCTAAAATGCCTCCAGAAAAGTCAAGTTATGGAGGTTTGAAGAGGAAAGCCTTTGAGTGAGGGAGGTTTTTAATCCATCGTTTCTAAAAGGGAATTAAGACAGGGACTAGAGGAAAAAATCAAAATATTCAGGAAATTTGAGTTTTAACTGTTTAAATGTACAGAATATTTGTACGCACATATTATATTCGTACGAACATAAAATAAAGCAGTCAATTTCGTTCTCAATGTTTTTCCCCAGATTTAAACAATTGGTGGCCACCTGAAACAATTTCGATCCAATATATCGCGAATTCCACCTGAGATTTCCAAAATAACCTTACTTTTCCTTGTTACATTAACTTTCTACTGGAAACAGTAGTAATGTATTAAATAATGTTCAAGTTGAGGAATAGAAAACGGTGAGAGAGAAACTGATTGATTTCTAATGACGGTTTCCACTTTCATCATTCGGGAAAGAACATGAAACTCTACGATCTCATTTAATTGAAACTAGTGGCTCAGGGTTGTCGTAAACTTTAAGGAAACGTGTCAGTAAGATTTTTACAGAGTAAAATGAGATCGACCGAAAATTTGCAATGACACGCGTATTCTGATTTTCGTTTCAATATAAAGACAAGTCACTCTTCGCACAGGCTTCACCAAGCATGACGCATTCGAAATGAAAGTATCCGCTGTCAAGCTTGCGCTGTCCCATACACGCATTGTGACTGTTCCAAGACATAGCTTCCTCTTGAATCGGCAAAAATAAAAATGGACCAAAATACTTCGGAAAAACGTTATGCAAACAATTTTGACCATCTCCCCGATTCTGGGCAGCTAGGCCCTTTTTTCAAAAATTTGGTGCTTTTCGCCATAGGGATCGGAATCGTACGGTACATCTATCATCGGTGAGTAACTATTGTGACTCACGGGGTTTTGTGATGTAAAAACGCGTGAATTTTCAACACTTCCAGGTATTTAGCAGTCCCATGCTTGGAAGCGATTCTGAAAAGGAAACTGGCGCAAGAAGGACAGAAAGCGGTAAGTTTTGGAATTCTTCGGGAATTACTCCATTCCTTGATATACGCGGGTTGATCATCGGCATTACATCCACGCGGAACAAATTCATTGCTTTTTTTCTGATCCATTCAGTTTTGCTTCTTGATCTGCATTACCGTAAATAAAACAATATGCAAACGCCATCACTTCCAAGACCTGCCTCAACTCTTCACCATTCAAACTGAAAGATAATAATTTGCTTCTCAATCTAAGACAATAGAAAAATATTGTTTAAAACATGCTACGCTCTGAGAACTCAGCATCAGAGACATATTTCAATCACAGAGTACCTTCATCACAATGTATTGACAGTACGAACTGCAAACGAAACTACAGCCTAATTTTGTTCAAAAAAAGAAAATAAATTTATCTTGCGAGTAATACTGTACTATAGCATCAAAACCTCAAAAAACCTTGCTTGAAAAAAAAAAAAAAAAAAAACTGACGAATTCTTTCCCACACTCAACTTTTGAAAAGTGATTTTTCTTCATCAGATGAGACTAGGCTTCAAACAATATTGAAAAGTACGGCAGTCAGATAAGTTTCCGAAAAGTTGATCGCTTGAAAGAGTTCACTTTTTTTAACGACACTCTGCAGCTGATCTACAACTCCATAGAGTTTTGAACGAATCCTAGTCTTTCTCCGGTTGAAATCTCGTGCTAACAAGGCGTTTCTGACCCGGATTTAGGGACATCAACAAGAGTGTATTTTATAAATCTATTTCTTATCCTTCTCAGCAGAAAGAGTCCATAGAAAATGAGGCAAAAAAGGCAGCAGATTCCTTGTGAGTTTGAATCGGATATCCCAGATTGATTTCATGATTGAAGGCTTGACGGGGATTACTTCTTCGTCTCTAGATGGAGATTTTTAGTATACACATTCCTCACCTCTTTCAACTTCTTCACCATAGCTCGAACCCGATGGAAAGTGTTCGCAAATCCCATCCTCTGTGGTGATCAAGACGCCCTTTCCACAGTAATGTCCAGAATTGACAGTTTCCAGTCGAGAACCACAATTTATTCTCCTTTTCTCGCCTTTCCGTGCGTGTTTCGAGCAAAGGGAATGGGATGAGCTTTTCTTGTACGGCTTCACTTCCGGACTATACACACACATGCTGTTGGAAGAATTCACGAGGAGACATAAGAAGGATTTCGTCATGATGTGCGTTCACCACGTCGTCACGTTGGCTTTACTCTTGTCATCTGCCTACTGCTGCGCTTACACCGCCGGCAGTTTGATCTTATTAACGCATGACGTTTCTGACATCTTACTTGAGGTGAAGTATACATCGCTTATTTCAGATCTGGTTCAGCTGCAAGTGAAATTAAATTTTTTCGGAGCAACCTTCGAACAAGACATTTCGCTCGGAAAGATAGATTTTGTTCATCCTCAACACCTCAACCATAAACACTATCCGGAATTTCCTGAACTCTTTTCCGATTTTCTTCCGTATTTTCGGTGCAACCGTTGCAATCTTGAAACGACATATACCTGAACCAGCTAACACAAAACGAAAACTTTAATTCAACATTTTACCAAGATGGCATAGCTATCATATGTTATCCGTGAATAACCCAACCTAATCTCTCAACATTCCATGTTCTTCGACCGATACGCAAAAAATTCATGAGCAAAAAACGTATCGTCAGCTATAGCAAGGATGAATCCCCTATTTTGAGCAGAAAGTGAGGAAGGGTTATTCGCCGAATAAATAGAAGATAATGGAACCTTCTTTATCTATAGATTTTGGACTCTTGACCGGAAATCTTCAAATCTCGGATACACGGCGAAAGTTGTACTTTGAAATTACTTTAAATAACATAAGTTATCAACACAGTGCGTTTATATCGATACTGTACTATGAATTCAAATAAATGACACAAGCAAATTTAAAATTAAGATCCGGAAGATCTCGAGAATTTCTTCTTCGTGCAATGTTGGAAATTGCTCAAGAGGGTGAATATTCATACTCACGGTTAATCGAGGTACGCATAACAGAGATCTAACATTACTTTGAAATAATGAAGATTTTTGATTTTCTCATGACTAACACATGAATTAATTTTTTCAGCTGGGAAAATTTTTGGCAAAGATGAAGTATAAGAGAGTGCCGATCCTGATTTTCCCTCCGTTCCTCTGCGTTTGGATTTTCACGAGGCTGTTCTACTACCCATATTTCATCCTATACCATGGGTAAAAAATGAAATCAGTGTACTAAACCTTGAAACATTCTCTATTGAGAAGATAAAATTTATATTTTTGATGAAATCAGAGGAAGAAAAAGTAATTTTTTTACGATGATAGATCAGCGCTGAAACATCGCTGATGGCCAAAATGATCCAAAAATGTCCTTTCACAGGTTTCTTGCCTACGGAGACTTGAATCCACAAATCCCAAGCTTTATTCGATATCCAGTATTGACGCTGCTTTTTTCATTAGTCGTCCTCCACGTGTTATGGACATACTTTATCTTTCGATTCATCCTGAACATGAAAGTGAGTCAAATCAGATCGCTCTGACCTTTTAAAACTGATTGAATTTTTCTTCAACTGAACAGAACTTGGAAGACCCGACGAGTCCGAAACTTAAAAGGAAACAAAAGAAGATCGCATAAGTACAGCACGCGCCATAACGACGTTCCGAAAATGGTCACAATCAAACGGCGAACGAAGCCTGAGCATATGAACAACATGCTCCCAGAAATAGTACTGGCAAAGATATCAGTACAGTACATGTGCAGCCAATTGCTTTCTGTTCAAACACTGAAGCAAAAGCATTGAGAACGCAATACTGTAATTAAAACCTCCATTCTTCAACTAAAACAAGCACTGAAGCATCGTCGGGAAGAGGCGATTCTATATCTTTTGAAAGTTCGCAAACTTTCTCGTGAATTCGGTTATTCAAACTATTTTACGGTCTTCAATAAGCAAATAAAGAGTAGAATTGTTTTTAAAAATAAGTTCCTCCCAGATTGAATAAATATTTTATTTGCCATGAAACTCTCGCAAAAACGGATTTCAACAACGGTTATAGATGGTAGAAGTAGGGGTTGATTCATTTTATTCATTTCAATGGAATTTCCTCACTTGATAAGTTCTACCTAATATGTTTATTTTTTTCTCTCATGTAAGTTTCTCCATGGGAAATCAGGGTGCTGCAAAAATTGATCGAGCATTTTAAATACGTAATTGGGAATCGAAGAATCGATAACTTGCCTGCATAGAATGATCATGAATCATTCCAGGACATTTTCTCGGACCACCCCTTCATCCTGACAAACTTGAACGCTACTACGAAAAAAAAAAAACCCGAAAACGATATTTTTAATGAAGCAAACTGATAAATACTCTAATTCATCGAATACTCAACTCATCTGCGGGCTCATCCCGGTAACAGTAACGTCGTCAAGCCAGACATTCAACAACTTTTCTCAATGCATCAAAACGCAGGAAGGGGTTGAAGAAACGTCTCACATTCCGGTCTCAGCTCGTCTTCCAACTCGCAGAAAAAATTGGAATCACAATTGGCCAGCGTCGATCGCGGAACAGGCATCTAATCAACCTGACCCCCTAAACAGTCTCGACTTCATCACAGTAAAAGCTGGAATCCCAAGACGAAAACACGAAAAATCCGATCTACCTCATCTGAAAACAAAAATTCAAGGAAGAACCGGAAGTATTCATACTAATGCAATTTGAGAAAAAAGTACGCAATCTAGAGATAGAGAACGTTGGTTGATCCACGAGATATCATCATTCACGAAACCCGAACCCCCGCAGATTTTTAACATGTTTGCGCTCAAAAGACAATACTTGTGAAGCACTGTAGAAAAGCACCTGCAATTTCTCGTATATCACCGTATGGCACATCGAAGAACATACTCGTGATGAAATGTTCGTAGAAGTGTCCGCGACTTGAAGCTCCCGCTGATTCACAGGCATATTTCAATTTTAAAATAGTGAATGCAGAGTCGTCGCATTACTTCAAAACGACACTGGAAATTTGTCAACATGACTGGCACAGAAAATACTGACCGAAATACAGCAATGCCACGCACCGACTGTTACACTTGGAACATCAAGAACCCGTTAGAAAAAATACCTAATCTTCAATTTTCCACGCATGGCAATCTTCAGCACCAAAATCATCGATTTCAAAATACTTTTCCTTTTCGTTCGCAGATATTAACCGTCAAAAACTCCTCATCTCAACAAGAAAAATAAATTTTAAAAATACTTGCTCCATGGAAAGTCAACACATTTCCAATTGTCATGACTTCAGGCAAGGTTTTTTTTTTTTTTGGATCAAATAATATTATCATTATCACGAAACATTTTGGCTCCTAATAAGCTCATGAAGCCTCTTCACAGACGCTAACGCTATGGCTTTTGTTCCAAGGCACATTTTCAACTGATCTTTCGCCAACTGCGGGTCACAGTTGATTTTATGGAAGACGTGCACAAGCCCCGGATCCGGAGCACGCATCGCAGTTAAGCTCTTTGTCCCAGCAATTCGACTGAATAAATCTACGTCTTCCTTCCCCCAGCCACTGATGGTTCTGTCGAACCCACCAACAGCAACCAAGTCTTTCTTGTAAATGCCAACGATTCCAAACCCGTACTTCCGCCAAAATCCTCTTTCGTCGCCGAAACTGGATTCGTCGTCGTCTACACCAGCGAAACTCGGATCGTATTCCGAAAAAGTTATTGGGAACCAAACTTGCTTCCCCAACTCCGTGTTGAACCTGATGTAAAAGAAAACCGACAGCTCGAGAAATAACATCAGCGTTTCTAACATTCCCATAGAAGGAATCGGAACACAAGTTCTTTCGCAAATTATACTAAAACTTCACACGGATGCACCCGCGAAGTTAAAAAATAGCAGTCCACTTTTTAAAATCTTACTAGGAAAATACAGATTTTTAAGCAAGAGGAAAACGGACGATCAAGAGCCCATTTAGTCAATATAGGCTGTTGAAAATGTGCAACTCGAAGAGCAGTTTGGTGATGCGTGGGATAGCTCCGAATATTCTCACAATAATTCGCCTATTACCATATTTACTCGATTATCACGCGCCCCTGACTAAGGCGCGCACCCAGATTTTTTGGTGACAAATTTGCCAAAAACCTATCCTCGCGTAAGATTCGCACAACAGTTTTTTATTTAATTTTGTTGTTGCTGCAAATCAAGGAGAGGAAATTTTTTTTAGAGTGAATTTTTCCACATTGATATTTTGTCTTTCCTGTTTTCTAATGTCAGCAGGAGCAGTGAAGAAGGGCTTGCAATATATGACAGCTTCCTCAATCAGATGGATATTTTCCCCTTCCTTTACTTCTTGTTGCATCTAAAACTGATGTATATTATCCCTGAAATCGTTATTGCTTGAACCATTATTTACCATGGACAAGGAGACTAAACGCCGCACATTTTCTCTTTATTTTTTCAGCTTCGATGAACAGCACAGTACTGTACTTCCATGTGTGAGGGACTTCCGTTTTTTGGATTTTTTTAAATGTATCCCCGAGTACCACGCGCGCCCTATTTTTCTGCCTAATTCTTGGATAAAATGTGTAAAATTATCTTGTGCATGTAAATTCCTTCGACGCTCGAATACTGTACCTTGAAACCTGCATTCATTATACTCGAGTACCCCGCGCACATTTTATCCAAAAATTATGCAGAAAAATAGGGTGCGCGTGGTACTCGAGTATAATGACTGCAGTATTCAAGGTACAGTATTCGAGAGTCGAAGGAATTAACATGCACAAGCTAATTTTACACCAAGTGACCCGGAATCAAATTTGTTCTTGGTTTTCTAATGTGTGTGTATGAGCTTTGAAGCGAAAACTTGATTAGGAACGGTTTTTCCTTCTTCCATCGAACCTATTTATCAAATTCAACTCAGTCTGGTTTCACTCAAAATTTCAAACGAGATAAAGCGGTTGAATATTTAAATGGCCTAGAAAATGTTACAGAACTAAACCTATGCAGAAATACACACAAAAGCGTCCCTTTCAACAAACCTGACGTGATCAACGGCCTCCGGTGAGACCATGATGTCAACATCGATGAGAAACAGGAGATCATCGTCCATAGCCGCAGCGGCGCCGATTTCGAGGGCTTCTCCTCGAGAAAACTTTTTATCGGACACTGTCACCAACCTGATGTCCGGAGAATCAGCTCGATTATTGTATAGCGAAGTCAAGTGTTCTACTGCAGTTTTTTCATTCCATCCATCCAATGTTGAGGCCTTCGCGTCATGGTAAAAAACAATCTGCAAAAAACAGGGCGAGTGTCGAAGATTTTCTATGAGAAGAAAGGCATAAAGGGGAACTTACAGTGAGGGTACACGGTCTTGTTCCTGTTACGTGATCAACTTTACAAGTAGAATCCCAGTTCCTCAAGAATCTGCTGAACGTATCGATTCTTCCTTTCAGCGGCAAAATGAAGTTCACCGTTTCCTTTCTTTTGACTTCCGTTTGATTTCTGAACTTCGGCCAAATGCGAAGTCCTAAAAACGGTACTCGCACATAAGAATGCCTTCGCACAGAGAAATCCTTCTTCTGATCTTTCTTGAATTTGCGACCAATTTTTTTGTAATCCAATACAACATCAAGGATGTAATCCACTCCATTCAGCGTCGAATATCGCCGATATGCGTAGTGCAGTCGGCGGAATCGTATCGTTCGTTTCAAATGACGGCGCTTCAAATTTGGTAGAGAATCCATGGAAGAAACTAGTTGAAAAATGGCAGCATCTATCCCCGTTTTGGACCTGTGATCCAGACCTCGTCGCGGAAAGTCTACTTGAGGACCAGCAGCGTAGATTCGGCGATCAGCTATGAGTTCCCACGGAGCGAAGTTCGTTCCATCAGGCAAAAGCTGAACGTATGTTATTCCTATTAAAAAAAAATACATCCTCAATCAAATGGACAGTTGGCTCGATTCGGGCAAAATCTATGAGAAATGAAATATGTTCGGGTAGAAGGAAACATATTGTATAGAGAATAGAGAGCCGAAACAGTTGCACGTCCAAAAATAACGGTGTGTGAAAAGAGAGCTCAAAATACTTCATAAAGCAATAAAACAAACGCTTGGACAGAACGGTTCAGTGGTGGAAATTTAGGCAATTTCACGAAGTTAACTCCTCAAATTTTTTCTCAATAACTTACTGTACCTATTCAAAATAGATGACGAAATGTAGCACAACCATATCATCATATAAATGAAGCACGTTGTTGTATCACTAATTTTCTTGACACACGCTATTTCGGGACACTCTCAGCTGTTCAGCAAGGTTTGAATCTCAACAAACCAAGACACACTCTTTTTTCCGAAGTACGCATTTTCAACAGGTATTCGAAATTTGTTTTGTACTGTCAACGCCTGCGCAAGACATAAACGTACTCTTCATGTCTTCATACGATGCCGGTTTTCCACTCATCAGCGTAAGAATAGCCTTGGTATCGCGTTTTACTGCGGCCATCTCCTGGTGGATCCGACGCATGTTCAACCTCTGTTGAGATTAAGTAAAAATTCATAGCCAAATTTTCCATAAATTTCGCGGAATAAACTTACCGTGATGTACGCGTGGATCTTGTAAAATAATTCGGCTTTTTTCAGCGGATGAATTGTGATGGCGCGGTTCAGATCTTGCATCGCTTCTAAATCTCCAGTGAATGCCTGCTCACCCCCATAATTATGCAGGAACAGCTTTTTTGTCTGCACAAGGTCGAAAGAAGTTCGAAAATGACTCATTCAACGGAATGAAACGGGAAACTTTTCACTAAACCTCGGATGATTTCGTGCAAGAAAGATTCGTCGATGAGAACTGCTTGACACAACGGCACAACTCGATGTCCTCATGGAATGTTCGTAAATTATTAGCACACTCGAACACATTTGGAGCAACTTCAGCCACTGTTTTCCGCGAGAAGATTATGCCCGTGCCTCCCATGCAATAGTTATCACCTGGACCCAGAAATAAACTACCCGCTTCTTCTTTTCGGCCCGTGGCTCCTTGCCCTAATTGAATAGAATAAAAAAAAGCCATGAGCATACAGTACAGTATTCGACAATAATAGACAAGCGCGAACCTCGGAAGGCAACAAACCCGAAATGCTGCGGTTTCCATTCAATCCGTTGCTTTTAAAATTTATTTTAATGTACCGTACGTAGAATACTTACTCTTGAGTTCCCAAGGTCACCGAGGGGAAACCATGTTGGTTGTCCACTCATGAATAATATGATCATTATCTGTCACATTCACGCAACTCCTCGCCATTCAAGTTTCCGATTAAGATACACGATACCCTTGAACTTGCAATGCTTTTACAACGAATAATCCATCGAACCCATTCTAAGCTGATTCTGAAAGATTCAATGACCGCATCATTTTGTTCCTCACTGCAACTCATTCTAGTACAGTATTGCACACGCAGACCACTGACAAATCCAGCTACTGCACTGTGAACCATATTACAGAAATCAGGAAAATATGACATACTTGCATTATTTCAATAATGAAATAATAAAGCCAGTTCACCAGCTGACAAGAAAAATAAGGCGGAAAATGGGATATGAAAGGTCGATTAAAACTGTAGTGAATTGAACTCCGAAAAAAATCTGTAATATGAGCCATTTATGAACGACGACAAGGAGGCATGTTTAATTTTATCGCTCACCAATCAAGTGCGGCTCATTTGGATTCAGTGACCGAAGAAGCTTCAGTAACTCCACAGCATTCAAATAAGCGTCATCATCCAGTCGGACAAACCAATCGAATCCATTACCATGTATTTTCCACATGTAATAAAACATTGCGAGGGCTTTCTTCTGCGGTGGATACGTATCATCTACTCCTTTCAATTCGTACACATTCTGAGGAAATGAAGTTCATCACCACGCGTACATCGAGACGTAATGCGTCGTAAATACCATGGGTACAGAGAAGTTCTTTCTTGCGAGCGCTCCTTCTGGTACGAAATACATGTACTCAACCCCATGAGGCAAGACAGACAAAAAAGTTTCGACACCAGCCACAGCCCTCGTTCGTAAAAAGTTGACCGTCGTCATAATCCCCACGAAGACCAGCTTCTTGTTCGGAACATTTATCTCCTGTGCTCCTGGAGATCGTGTCGCAGTACGAACATTCGTTTCATCCGAAAGAAACAGAATGCCCACGGTACAAGTTATCACGAAGCTTATGAAAAACAGCCGAAGCCTCAACAAATATCTCAACATCTTCACAGGAACAAAATCTCTAGCAGCACACAGAAAAACAATCACACTTCATACCTGAATCGACATCATAGGAATCGAATCGAAGTCACCAATGAAGTGTTGAATATTCAACAGACGGAAATGTTAGTGCTCTTCACTGACCACCAACGTGGGATCAAGATCAAGTTGATTCAAACCGAATTTTCTCTCATGATCGCAGAAAAACTCCCCATCCATTAGCCTGAATGATCAGCCTAGGTGCTGAAAGATCCGGGTAAGATTGGCAATAACCTAGGAACGGTGCATGAGTGTCCAAATTCAGAAAATAGACGTAATCTCAGAAATTGGATGGTTAGAATTTATGCGGCTGCACTGGAAAAAGCAAACTGCTCACATCACTTCATATCCATTCATAGGGCACTCCATAATCCACAATCCAATGTGCATCGTAAATTTATTCGTGATTCAACCACAATCATTTTCGTGCCACACTCATCCCTCATTTATTTCAAAAGCACAGCACACTCCAACTGCTTCTGCCTTTTTTTTCCGAGATTGAGTAATAAATTTAGGACGCAATTGAAGAAGTGACTGTTTTAGAGGGATTACAAAATAAATTATACGCAAAAACGAAGAAAATCAAACACATTGACGGATTGGGACTACCACATGGGTCACACACAAAATAAGTGTGAACGACGAAGACTGGCTGGAGTGCAGACTGTATTACAGATTCGAAAATACTGTATAAGTAATAAAATTATTCAGGAAGATTTGGCTCGTCAAAATCATTCTAATCAATAATGTATTGGTACATTAAATCTTCAAAATGTTCAACGCCAATTTTCAATGGAATAATGAAAAACGTGATACGCGCATGGCGTAAATTATTCCACCATTGCGACAAGAAATATTTGATATCAGTCTTACACTATTCCCATTTTCATTGCCAGTTTCTCACTTAATGAAGCCGCTCTTCCAAGTCTCATTTTTGCCATGGATGGATCGTTCTTGCAGTATATCGCGGCAGGGCCGCAAACCAATCCAACGCCTCGAATCATATCCAACGTTCATGGAAAGTGCATAAGTCTCAAATGAAAAATATGATTCACTCCAGGGCACACATTCTTCGTTCGGTGATTCTCCAGACGTACTGTTCAGTCAATGGACGTTTTGAGGTTAAAATTTGTTTACGAAGAGTTCTTGGAATTTCGACGACGCGTGTATCATGAATACGGTACCATTTTTGCCAACAAGCGCTACTTCTGGTAAAAAAAAAAAAAAGAATCGTTCCAATACCCGACTTCACGCGTGAACACATGATGAAATGGTTCGATACCAGCCAGAACCATCCTGTGCATAAAATGGACGATCGTCACAATACCCATCAAGCTTAGCTTCTGATTCACAGCTTCATCGCTTCCATGTACATCCAAGGGTTCCGTTGCAACATGAACACCTGTTTTCGGCAAGAAAATGTTCATGAGCTCGAGTTTTTAAAAAGTTCGCGAAAACAGCCGAAGCTTTAAAAAATATCCCAACACTTTTCTCCCGAACACGATACGAAAAACCGTGACGTCAAATACGGAAACACGCACACTTGGCACCTGCCGACGAGGGTGAAATAAAAATTTGGAAAAGGATCAAAAGCGACCACTGAAATCTGAATTATTATACGAATCAAAATAATCCAAGACACAGTAAGCTTATTCAGACAGGATGGCATTTCCCACATGATTTAATCCAACTCAAAACTTCACCAGAAAAGAAAAAACTGGATATGCGTGCCGTTGAGCGCATGGCACCGATTACTCGGCAACTGCGATTTTCGGTAGTTCATTTCCGTCTTGTTCGGATTTTTTTGCTTTCACTGCCAGTTCCACGCTAACTAAAGCTCTTCCGACTCCAGTTCTTACTGCGGTCTGCGAATTTGGAGGACCGCTTTCGCGCACGTCGTAGCTATGTAAAGGAAGCGTTGCCAACCAATTCAACATTCTAGAAGGACAACCAACGTTCATTAGACTGGACACAACTTGCTCATAGAATTCCTCGGTTGGCGAACTTACGATTTCTCCTTCATTTCCGTTTCATATATCGCATTGTAAATGACGTCTTCTCGAAATTTCAGAACTTTTTCTTCTTCGTCAGCCCAATCGAGATTATCATGCATACCATCAGCACCATATCTTTCATTGTAGTATTGGTAGTGCACCTGAGGAAAATAAACGCGTTTTCCATACCTCGTGATATAAAAACAATTCATATCCGGCAAAATCTTACCTTTTCAAGCATTAGGCCGAGGCCAGGAGCCATGGGGACATCAACCCGATCAGGTTGAAAGACTTTTTCGAATACAGATTCTGATGCGAAACCACGAACAACAGCGATACATAAACCAATCATCTTCCTGATTTGGTGTAGCATGAAACTTTGGCCTTTGATCGTAACTAGAAGCCACTCCATACCGTGTTTTTCGTACGGTTTACCGCATTCAAAATCCATAATGTACCTGAGAGAAATCGTGTAAGGAATAGTCTAGCTCTAGACATTCGGAAAATATTTCCAGAGTGAATTGACTACAAAATTGAATGACCTTATTTTGACATTTATCTCAAGTGATTCAATATTCAGGAATTTTTATTCAAAGTACAGTAACTAAAAATTGAATTATGAGGCTACTTTCTCATCAGATTACTGTATTTAAATCTTGGACATCAACTCTTATTCTCGTAGAATGGAATATTAACCTGTGAAATCAAGGTTTTATTTAATTTATCACTTTATTCGAAGAAATAAAGCTTTTCTGATGATCTTGGTACTGTGACATCAACACTACGGAGATTGTAGCCTTGGCTTAATAAGCCATTCGCACAAAATTTCAAATCATCGGGAAAACAAGTCGAAGATGAAAAATCAGTCGTACACTACACGATTACTTAAATGAAATTTCATAAGAACAAACCAAATTCAACAGGGCTCGTATTTCATCATTCACAGTCGAGAAACCGAAATGAGCTGGATCTTCAACAAAATTACCTCGAGTTACTCGGACAATCCATTTCACGTCGGGCAGTAAAATTGTGGAATTTCTTCGTTCCAATGAAGCGTTTGAGGAGTGAGTCGAATTGCTCAATCGCTTCCCGCGGAGGTCGATTCGTCTCTGTCAGAGGATCTTCCTCGACATGGCAGAGAGCAAACGTGGGAAGTAAATAGGAGTAAGTTCTCGCATCGCACTTGGTTTTCGGATTGAAGCCACGCGTCACTCTTCGCATTCCCATCACACGAATAGCTGCTGGGAGAATCGCGTTCAGTTTCTCCACGGCTCCGGCTCCTTCCTCTGGATCTGGAATAGTATTCGATGTGATTGATGAAATGAAATACCCTACCTAAGCAGATGTAAGACACACTTCATCTATTTTGACGCAAAAAAAAATCGGGATGGGTTTTAGAATCGATGGCGTCTTTGATTCCCGCGCAAAATGATGAGAGTTTGAAGAATGGCCCCAAAAATTGCACTCCTTCAAGTGATCAATATTTTTTATGCTCATTTGAGTACAAGGTCTGAACTAAAAACAGAGAAATGACAGTTTGAAGTGTAAATCAGAAAACGCGACACCTTATTTCAATCGAGTTCTTTTTTTTATGCTAGTACAGAAGCATGTTGGTCAAACATTATACAGCTGTTAACGATGATTTCACTAGATAGAAAATATGTGACCCTTCCCTCGCAGTTCATCATTGCAATGCCTTGTCTCTAACATCTAAAGAGATTTTTCCTTTAAAGGATCGATTGAAATCGTAACCAACCAGAAAGTTAATGCTGAGTTTTTGACAGCCCGGTATTGCGAAGCTAAGATTGCGTGTCTCATAATACGTCTCGAACTGTTTTCGACTTCGAAGGAATTAACATCAAGATGCGGTATCAAGAATGGCGTCTCACACTCGATAATCTCAAGACTAGAAGCAATGGTTCTTACCCATTCTAAGTGAAACGACTTGCCGAACAGCGGAGACGCCTTTATCCGTTCGCGCTGCTCGCTGAAACCAAGCATTCTGCGGCGTTCGAAAAGAATCTTCGTCAATATACTCTGACTTCAACAACGCTTTCAGCAATTCTTCCTCAATCGTAGGTGTTCCGGGGTTCTTCTGCATTCCATAATAGCCACGCCCGTCATACGATAACAGGAATGCAAACTTCTTTTTTGCGCGTCGCTCACGTTTCGAGGGCGGCTCGTATACGTCGAAACCATTAGATAAAGGCGAATCTTCTTCGCCCATCGCAGAAAACCGCCTACAACACACGGCTGTTTTGGAATGGCCTAAGAACTGCCGAAAGCGAAACGCGCACACGGTCGTGAACGACAACCTCATCCAACAGCGTTCGAGATTTTTTATTTATTCGGCAGAATAAAAGGGAATAGATCAGAGACAAAATAAGTCAAGCGATAAAAATAACACGAATGCACACACCACTATCCTAAAATAGGATTATAATTTAAACTCAATAATTCGAACCTCCGTAAGTCGAATACCTCCGTATGTAGACTTCTTTTTGAAGTCCTGTCTGCATTCCCAACAATGCATTAAAAACCTCTCTAAATCGTACGCTTTTCCCCTCAAAACTCTATAATTCGAATTTCATGAAGGCCTTTCGCCTATTGGCGTATTTTACTTGCACAGGTAAGAGAAAAGGAATGAACATTTATTGATGTGTTTTGAAAGGAGGTTCAAGATTAATTGGGCAAATACGTCCTTGCCTCCAAGTTCGGCATCCTGTTTCATTTCTTCTGCTGTTTAAGGCCACAAAATCACGCATTTAGTTTCCTGTAATTCTTCGTATTTAAATTCAGCAAAAAATACCCGTTTCCCCTAACTCGAAACTTCCCTAACTAGAACCGTTTTGTTAGTCTCTAGAGGTTCGACTTGTACTACACTGTAATACGATATTGGAACAAATTTCAGTATTTATCCATTTTTGGAACTCCATATCTAAGCATCTGCAGATCTGACTTTGTTCATCTGAAACTAAACGAACAAATAACACAGAAACCACAGAGATGATTGAATTTTATTTCCATAAAATTCCAACCAATAACTTCGTCACTCGACGACATACGCGATTTGCTTTCCCAATGGACGCAGACCGTCATTGCTTAGGCCGACATCCACTTTGTCATTTTCCGGATCGACGCAAAGCGACAGATCAGATTGTAAAGTCGACAAACCTTTCTCGGGGTCGGAGGACGAGGGAATGCTCCGTGGTCCCAATTCTGGATCATCGTATGCTAAAATTCGAAGTGATCCTTCGAAGGAACGAAAATACAGACATTTATAATCATTGAGTGTTCAAAGAGGAAGATTATTCGCATCATCGAAAGCCATGGCGTCAGGGTAGGAAACACGAGCTTCAGAACTACTGAAACAGTTACAAAACTGAAAATTTCTTGACATCGGTATGACAATCGTATACAGTACTTACGCACAGAACGGATAAGAAAAACGTTAACACTGTACAGTAAATCAATTGAAATGGGAGGTTAGTGTTTCAGCATTTCTTTTAGACAACTCCAAAATATACGCATGGAAAACCTAAACCAGAGGGAAGTACTGTACCCCATAATCTAAAACCCGTAAATTTTGATTGAAACATGTACAGTATAAGCAATCAAATCTACGCAAAAATTAAATTATATTCAAATATGCGCATCACCTTTGACATTTTTGCACCGTTTCGCAATTCTCTGAGATAATTTCTTCACGGTATCCTGCGGGAAAACCGGAACTTCCAGCTGCAAAAAAAGACGAACAGGAGCTTCATTGATCCGGACATTTTAAAAATAATAACTTCGATTAATTTAGAAAAATACCTCACAGTATTCACGTAAATACAAGGCGCCATAGGTTTTACAACGCATCTTCATTTGTCAGGTCAAAACAAGTAGGAAAAAAAGTAGCCGATAAATCTCGTACTGGCCTCAAAATATTTTAGTAAGTCTTTTTCACGTGCACCGTACATCAAACACAATGGCGTTAAAATTATAAAATGAAAATACATATTTTCTCAAAAGCTGAAATATAAGTCGCACTTGACTATATTTCAAGCTGAATTATTCCAACAAATACAAACGTTATGATGATCACCGTCCACTTCGGACGCTTCTAAAAGAAAATCGCCCGGCGCTTCATCAGGTTTGCTATTCGAATCCTTAGATTTCTCCGTTTAGTTTAGACTTGTAGTCAGAGGCTCAATGAGTTAAAATACAGTAATACTGACGTGCAGCTCATTTTTGGCTTGCGTAAAAATAGCTTTCGGCATGCAAGTTTAGGATCAATGAGAAGTCGAAATAAAATTTTATTTCTCAAAATAATACGGTAATGTGCGTCTCACAAGTGCGCTAAAACGATCAATACACTACAGGAAGATGATACCTACCTGAAAATATCCCTTCTTCGGCTGAATATTGACAGCAGTAAGCGTCACGCTCGGCGGAGCAAAGAAGACAATGAACGGGTCTCCCGGAGTGCACTCGTCTCGGACCTTGGCTTCATCCGCTTCCGCTGCTGCTTTAATCTCAATTCCTTCCAACTAAAATCCGTCATTTCATCAGTCAGAAGATATGCCGTCATGAAGTTTACACCATCAAAAGCCCCCAATCACTCGACAAATTCTAAAATTTAGCCGTTTGAAACACTGCACCTCGAGAGTTGCAAGAAGATATTCCTTGTTGGTCTCCAGAACTTCCTTCTCATCAAAGTCGAGCGTCAAATTGAGCGCTCGCATTCCTTGGGCTAAGATTCGATCCTTCACGGCTTGCACAAACGGCATGACCTTTTTCATATTTTTTGATACTCCTTCGAGTTTGCCAAGCGTTGATGACAGCACTTTATTGTCAGGCATCGCTGCCGGAGGTTCTTCGTCCATCGTCGAAGCATTTCCGTCAATTTGCGTGATCATGGATTTCATAGTTGTCAAAACGATTGACTGCCACGAAGGATAGCTTGCCGCAACGTAAACAATTCCGTGAGTGGGAATAGCGCGCTGAACCGGAGTAGCGTTGGTTTTCTTCGCTGCTTTCGCGGCGATCGCTGGCGTGCAATAAGCTTTGAGTCTCAAGCGGAACTCGTGCGCAGCATTCATAAGGTATTGCGAGGATTTCACGAGAATCTCGTCGACCTGACCAGCTTTCGGCCACGCAGCATTCATTATCGATCCATTCTACGATTTAAAAAATATTAAAATAAAATAGAGGCATGTCTCAATAGTCTTGCAGGACACCCACAGACATGAAGATGGAAAACGTCAGAAATTATTAACGGAGGACTATTGTTAACCCATGCAATTTGCACAAATTCGGTAGCTTTTTATTTGTCGTAAGAATACTACCCCTTTGCTCGACCTTTTCTTCCAGAACTTTGCCACTGAAGCTCCTGGAATTTTGTCATCTTCAAGGCATGTACTTACGGCCACCTTCATAAGAAGCATAACCCTTCCGTTTCTATTTTTTAAAAAAAAAAAAAAAAAAAACCGACAAAAATTGCCACATAGTAGTGCGAGACAATAATTCCCTCATGTGAAGCTCTGGAGTAAAACCTTTTTTTAAACAAAATTTGAATCCAACAGTTGAAAATGCAACAATCAACAGTTGGAATCAAAAATCAACAGCTGAAAATGCAGTTTTCTATCAAGAGAATTCATTAATCACGTTTCTTGATTTTCATCTTCGAAAGAGCTTTTGGGAAATGGAACATAAGCCCATGCAACCGTTCCGGACAACATTTTTGGTACACGAATTTCATTGGTTCTGATGTTTATCTGCGCAAAATGAATAAATTGATTCAAGAATAGACAAAAGCAGGGCTCAAAATATATGAGGTTACACCCTACCATAAGCCCGCCTTTTAAGAGATTCAGAAGACTCTTGTAAAGTCTCTCGTGAAATGAACGGATTCATAGAAATGCCTTCCCGATCAAACACGAAATTTTGATCGCGTTCGAAGTTCTAACGTAGGATCATGATGGAAACTCACCTTTCGCAGTAAATGCCAAACATGTTCGGCAACGTGGGGACAAATGGGTGCGAGAAGAAGGGCCTGCGTTTCAATGAATTTTAAAATGAGGTCCAAATGCATCGCACTCCCGGTGCCAGAATCCAAGCAGAGCTCCCGATATTTGTCTCTTAAAGCTTGATATTCGAAAAATCCAGTTCGTAAGCCCTCCTTGAATAGCATCTTCTCGTAGTTCTCTTTCGTCTCCAGAATCTTTTGGTTCATTTCACTATACCGAACAGCAAAAAAAAGGATAAGTCAGTGATACGCAATGAACGGAAGCCATTTGCAATGGATTTACTTGGTTGACACGTAACAACATTTTTAGATTTACAACACAACCTTTCAAGCCAACCAGCAATAGAGAACTTCAAATTATTGAAGTTTGACTCACGAATCGAAAGCTCGATCCTTGAAACTGTCCAATGGTCCGGTTCGGAGTTTTTCCAGCACAACCAAAATTTCCTTTACCCAGGAAACGAAATTGAAAAGACGCAGAATACCAGCCTCGGCAACAGATACTACAAAGTTTGCATCTTCGATGGAATCACCAGAATCAGCCAAGCACAATCTCATGCCGTCGGCTCCAAATTTGTCAATAGCCTCGGTCAACGTTAAAAAGTTTCCAGTAGATTTCGACATCTGAAAGAAAAGTCAAATCCATTTTTATCAACTCACTCGCGTAAAATAAATGTATCGGCTGCAGGTTGATCAGAGAGCTCAGCTCGTACCTTCTCCGAATTGAGCAAGAGATGACCATTCGATCTCACACCTGCTGGCCACTTGTCCGGATTTTCCGGCCACATTGCAGTGTGATTGTAAATGAAATACGTGAGGTGATTAGGCACCAGATCTTTCCCCGATACTCGGACATCAACAGGGTACCAGAACTGGAATTCCCGTCTCAAAACATCAAGCTTACTCTTATCAATCCCACTGTCCGAGGGATATGAGGCGGAAGGGAAGAAAATGTAGTCCCATACTTCAGGTGTCATCAGCCCAGATCTAAATGAAGTTGTACATACAGTATGTGTTTTTTAATGACCCAGCGTATCCAACGCAACAATTCACATAATCGTATGCTCGTGGAAGAAGTTCCTTACGTGATGCCCAGGGAATTTGGTGAGCTGCCATCGAGGGAAGGCCCTTGAAGTAAATGTGCGACTGTGTAATATGCCATGTAAATAGTTGAATCTGACAAGGATTCGATGAGCCAGTTCTCGTCCCAAGGCAATCGAGTTCCTGAAACAAACATCTCCAGAGTTAATACAGTACTGAATTTAAAAAAATATATATATTAAGCTATTCCTTTCCTACACGAGTATCCTAGAAGCACAGAACAGGACGTCCAGGAAAAGTCACAGAACATCGGAAAGGTCAAAATTTTTGCCGACGCTGATGTTCAATGAAATGCATGCCAAACTGCACCAAAATTGCCAGTAACTCCGTTGACAATGTCTGAATAAAATTACTAAATGCAAGAGAGATGAAATAATGTTCACAATTACTGTATCTGATGAAAAGTCCAACCAGAATCTATTCAAACTTCGTGTGCTTCTGGTACAAGAAGAAATCCGACAACGAAGGAACTTAGGATGACTCAGTGAGCAGTTAAAATAAATTGGATGAAAGCAATTCGTCTTTGAATTGGATCAACCAGGAAAATGCATCACATAGCATACAAAATGTAAACGCAATACATTTTCTCATTTGGTACGTTCAATGTACAGAATAAAAGAAATTGCTAACCGAGTCCGTAAGTTCGTGAACATGCATGTTCACGTAGCCAGTCCAATGTTGCCTCAAAGTTCTTCCTCGTTTCGTGATGATACACCTCCATTTTTGCGAGACACTCGTCCGCTTGTTTACGCCATGAGTCTTCGCCATAGTTCAAAAACCACTGATCACACAAGGCTACAACACATTCATCCCCAGACCTACGAGCACATCATCCCGGGTTAAATGATCAACAGCAACCTGCGAAATATAAGCACACTAACCGAGATATGACGAGCTTCTCAGGCTCTTTATAAATGAGCGCCTGGTTTCCATTCACAAGCTTCATTTGTAAATCTTTCTTCACGTCCTGAACTTTTCGTCCTTTGAATTCTCCGACCAGTAAAACCTTCGGATGAAATTTCAGCAAGACGTGAATCAGTGATTAAAATGCTTAACAAAAACAGAAGCGAAAACTCACCCCTTCATAGAAACCTTTCAAATAAACAAGTTCTTTGGCTTTCTCGAGCTTTTCCCGGTCATTCTGGCTCGTAATTTTCAATTCATCACAAACTGCAGCCGCGCTCAGGTTACCATATTCTGGAATCTCAATGATCGGTACCTACGAGCAGACAATCGAAAAATCATTAATGCTAAAAGCTCATAACCATCGGCACGCAATCAATGAAATACCTACAGCATGAAAGGGCTTGACCATGTCGTCCGTAAGTCCGAATTTATCTCGAAGTTCCTTCTTCTTGTTGAGATCGGCAAGGGCAGCGTAATCGTCGGGGGAATCCGAAGGGACAGACGTAACAACTCCAGTTCCTTTATCTGCTCGAACAGTCATCATCGTAAGGGCGTAAATGACGGGATACGGCGACAAAGGAGCTTTCAGTCGTGCACCCATTAACTCAGATCCACGAAAAGATCCCAATTCCTGAAATCGATGTATCGTGGTCTCAATGGATATACAGTATTTCCAAGTTTCGCTGTTCTGAAATTTGGGGTAAGTCTCAATTTGAATAAGCTGCGGTTTCAGAAACCAAGAAAGTTTCTGAAAACTAACAACGTTGGGTAACGTGAATTTCAAAGAAAAATATAATTTTCTTCCGCCTTCCAAGCTAACTTGATTCATGAAACTTGGAAAAATGCACTCTCAGAGTTCCTGAACGAAAAATGCGCATCAAAGACATTCAAGTACAGTTCAACTTCTTCGAGTTGTTCCTCGGGCGCAATACTTCGCATCCATAAAAAAAAGTAAATCTATCAGGAAATTAGTTTCGTACGTATGAGCACTACTTATTTTCACGAAAACCTTGCAGGCAGTAGAACTTCCATGGAAGATTCGTTTTCAATCCAACAAAATCAACTGAACAGTATCTAAGCCAGGGGTGCCCAAGATACGGCCCGCGGGCCAGATCTGTCCCGCGGAGGCTTTTCATCTGGCCCGCGGAGCCAGCATGGAAAATCTCCACACAAAAATTAAGACCCTCAAAAAGTGAAAATTGCAAGTTTTTCAGGACGTCTTCAGTCTGCAATTTTGATTAGGAATTTTATTAGGGCTTCACAATAAATTCTGCAATGATTCTCCTAATAAGAAAGAACATTTTGCATTGATTTGTGATGTTCTGTTATTCAGATTAAAGGGCAGGGTTTTGCAATTTTGGAATGCAAATCCTATCCCAGCATTTTCTGTTGTGTTTTTAATTTAATTGCATTTCTTGAT